AAAACTTCATATTTCTTATGGCTACTGTTTTCAATTTACAAAAAAATTTAAAATTCGGAATTAAGTGACCGTATAAAGAGATGCCACATTTACTCTCTGAATATGAAGAGTCACATGCCATTTGCATTAGAGACTAAGAGTTTGAGCTGGTTTGGTTTTTTTTTAATTCTGATTAGCATCACACGCTAACTAATCAAAGCATTCACAAAATTTTAATTGAACACCAACTGCAAATGAAGTTCCAACTACATTCTAACCAGCTGCTTAGTAGGCAGTATATATATTCCAAAAACTTCATTACTGCTAAGATAAAATCAAAAAAATAAAATAACCATTGCTCTGGCAACTTATTTCATGAGACTTGCCTTTAAAAGATTCCTTATAGTACTGCATAATTCTGTATTCTGGCTGGTTAATCCTTTGGCCTCATTGGATAATTCATACATCAAGTTATCGAATACCTGTAGAGTCTGTCAGAACGAAACAAAAGTTAAACACTTTATTTATAAACACATTCCCATAAATAGGAATATCACTATGCATCTGCTTCCTTCCTTGGCATGGAGTCATAAGGAGGCAAGTCACAGGAGAATACAATGTTTTCTAGCCTAGCATATGAGCTTTGAAGTGTGACATGCAAAAATCGAAAACCATCACTTCTCTAATTGTAGACAGAAACTAGATTAGCTGTTACTAACCGTAAGTGTTTAATAACACTTTTTAAGTGCTTTCTCTCTATTGGTAAAGCAAACTTCCTAGCTGATTCAGTTGAAATAACACATCTCATTCTACCAAAGATTTTTTATTTGGTTTCAACGAGATCATTTTAAGACAGAACGTTTTTCATTTTGTCTCAGAAAAGTAGGGTTTTGTTCTGAGAACGATTATTAACATTTTGAACATACAAAGAAATAAAATCATACGACATGCCAAATAACAATAATTTCTGCTTTGTTTGAGGCACTTGGATATTTTATCAATGTTACTGCTGAGATTCCAAAGACAGAGAGCTGTTTCCCGGCTCACAGAGGATGCTACATAAACTGGTATGGTATATTGATCCTTGTTCAGGATGTGCATGTTATGAGTCATTTTTCTTTTAATCTCTAAAATCTGCTAGAGGACATGAAAGAAAGGAAATGGAAATCAATTACGCATTTTTACAAGCTTCTTAAAACATATAAGCTGAGGCCTGAAACTTAAATCAGAATTCATCACTGCTGTATTTCATATAAGGGTAGCTATTGAATAATTTTAACATAACTACAGCACAAAGTTCTCCATCATTTAATCGAAAAACAGAACACACGTTAGGCCAGCATAGCCTAGAAGATTATTTGCTATGTTATTCTCAAATGTGAGACCTCAAAAGAAGAATCAATGCATCCTAAGCAGTTTTTTAACACTGAATTAACACAAAATTTCCAATTTAACTGAAGGTGACGTACCTTAGGTAATACTTTTGAGAAAAAAGTTTGTTCCAAATCTGCAAGGCTGATATGAGGCAAAAACATTTCAGTCAGGATCCTCAAAACACCTGCAAAGCAAAACATTTACAAAACGTTACAGAAAAATACAATATAGCCATATAACAAAAACACAAATACAGTTACCATAACACGTGACAGCCTACCAGATAAAACAAAGAATAATGTCAAATAGACCAGGTATTTCATTTTGAGAGAGGCAGCATAACACTTGCCACACGCATACTACCTAAAAAAAAAAAAAAAATCAAGCAACAATAAAGGCTCCAACATACATAAACCCATTAGCTGCATCACACTGGACTACCCGGAGTTGAAAGTTGAGCGCAATCGTTTGTCCATAACCTGATATCTGGATGTAACCACAATTTTCCAAGTTCCAAATTGCATATAGCTGCACATTTAATTTACCTGTTGCTCTAATGCACCACTTAACTGCGAATGCTAGCAACAGTCCTAAACAGTTGCGTATCAGACTCATTTTCTCATCACCGTTGCGTATTAAAAGAGTTTAGCTGCCTCTAAGATAATGGCCAATTGTGACACTAGAATACAATAATATTCAAGATGAAACGTGCCTTTCTTTCAGAATCTACAATTCAGAAGTATTGGGAGTGAAAAAAAACCTCTTGCATGCATTCTTTATAGGCTTTCATAAAGCTTATTCGCAATTCCTGCAATTTGCAATGTTCATCATGATTGCCAAAGATCTGGGAAGCGGCTAAATCACCAGTTATAAACCAAGTATTTTAAACTAGCATAAAATCTGTAACGTGATTCCGACAGAACAACCCTTAAGAAGAAGAAGCACTTCTTGACCCCTACTTACGAATATGCTCAGTCCAGTCTTCAGACTCTTGATACATAGAGTAAAAACGTTAAGGAAGCTCAAACTTGTCCCGCCATAAAGATTATTGTCAAACCGCTTGCGGGAGCCACCGTGACTTCTCCCGTGCTCTCCCACGTACGCTTAGCCCATCGCATAAAGTCAGCGGAGCTACTCGCAGGATCACCAATATTTCTGCAACGTACGTGGGGATTAAAGGGCGGGGGGAAGAGTCACTGAAAGCGCTAGATGACCCATACGGTACTTTCTAACGTGAGTGTTTTATTTCGGGGGAAAGGCAGTACTTATTTTTCCACTTGTTTCACTGTGGAAAACGACACGCAGCTTCTCCGTGCTGTGTCAGCCCCTTGCCGGGGCTGCACCACCTTTCCTGCGGGTTTTCCCCCTCCCGCGGGTTTACATGCATGCATAGTGCCAGTCAGAGAGAGGAAAACACCCCCATCCCCATCCCCATCCCCACCCCCACCCCCAC